CATTGGCCAAGCAATGGCTGTGACTCATCCACATGGCTGACACTGACAAAGGTTCTACAATCTGAGGTACAGGATCTCAGGATAAATCCTGAGGGCATTTCACTGACCTTGTCAGACCAAAAAGCTACAACTCGTGTTGCACAGGTCCTGCTTTACCTTGGTCTTAACCATCCAGTAGAAAAGTATAAAGATGAAATATAGGAAGTAAAGCATAAAGTTAGGCTTCAGATAACTGAGCAAAAAATAGAGCAGACTGGAGGAAAACTATGTGAAGCAGTGCATGGAAGAAAAGAGTATCCTAATTGTGCTTTTTTATTTTGTTTGTTTTAAGGATTGAACCTAGGGCCTTCACACTGAACAGTATCCCCAGTCTTTTTATTTTTTTTTATTCCTTACATAATTTTATTGAGAAACAAATCCAATGAGACCGTTTCAAAACCGATTAATAGCACAGTTTCAATAATTAATACATTGCATATTGTTGTCTTAGTGGTTATTCATTGTATAAGGAGCAGACATGATATCCTGTTTACACACACTATTAGAACAAATCTCTCTATTCATTGAATTAATAGAATGTAGCTGTATATCTCTCCTAACTATTTTGAATATGCAGATACAAAATGGTCATTTATTTGTATCTCCCTTTTTTGTTTAGTTCTGTCAGAGAAGGGTATTCCATTGTCATTTAAATATTGTAGGTACATGAATTCAGCAAAATATTCCAATATAGTACCGTAGGCCATAATAGTAGTATCTTTTTCTTTTTTAAATTTTGAAACAGGGTGTTTTTAAATTGCTAAATTGTTCCCTAGGGTTAACTTGAAATTATGATCCGATCCACCTACCTCAGCCTCTCTGTACCGGAACTGCAGGTGTGCACCACAATGCCCAAATTGTTCATGATTTCATAGGAGCCATTTTGGCTTGTTAGAGTGAGGTTTGGACAGCCATACCTAATTAGTACCAGCGGTAAATTCTACAGAGTGTTGGGACTGAGATTTAAAGTGATGGCTAAAGGAAGTTAGATATTTTATATTAGTTTAGTTTATTGTTTAGTTTGCTTGGGTTTCCATAAGAATACACCAGATTGCCTGGCAACAACAAAAATTTACTCCATTACAAGCCCTAGAGAATAGGTGTTGGGATCAAGACTGCACCTTCTGAGCCACTGTCTTTGGTGGGTGCATGACAACCATCCTCCCTGTGTCTTAGTCTATGACTGTGTCTGTATCCTACTTTTTCTTAGAAAATACACCAGTTTCATTGAACAGGAGCCAACTCATATGACATCATTTAACCTTCAGTACTCACTGAGTCTTGATGTCTGAATACAATCACAAGGCTAGGGAGATAGCTCAGTCATCTAAGCGCCTGTCTAACAAGTGCAAGGACCCAGGTTTGATCCCTGGTACCACAAGCCATGCTGACCCTGGAACCCTGGTGGCCCCGTGCTGGCCACTGAAACTGGGCATGGTGGCACATGCCTGTAATCCCAGTGCTGGGGAAGCTGAGACAGAAGGATCTGCATAGTGAGACCATATACCAAATAAATAAAAAATAAATAAACAAAAGATTTTTAAAATTTGAATACAATTGTAATCTGATTGTTAGGACTTCAGAGTAAGAATTTGTCCTGGGATAGGGAGAACAATTCCTCCCATATCATATTCCTAACATTTTCATTTAAAATAAGCAGAATTTGGATTTAAAGTCAAGGCTAAGAACCCATTATAAAAGAAAACTATAAATGTAAATCAATTTGATCTTCCAAGCTTTAAGAATACTCTAACATCAGAGTATAATCTTGGTTATCTTTGAGAGGTGAAAGTAAAAGTGTACAGGAGGAACATTAACTTGCATTTTATTAGTTTTTACTTTTGAGAACAATTTTAGATTTATAGAAAAATTAGTAAGAGAGCGCGTGCCCCCTATCCAGTTTCTCCTAATATTTACATCTTATGTTAGTATGGTGCAGGTCACAGTTCCCCAACTAATATGGATACATTATTGACTAAAGTCTATGCTTTGCTCATAATTTGTTATTTTCTACCTAAGGCCCAATTTCTATCCCTGGATCCTGCCCACCATACCACCTTACATCATTTGGTGGTCATTTCTTCTTAGCTGCTTCTTGGCTATGCCAGTGTCTTAAACTTCTTCTGTGTGTGTGTGTGTGTGTGTGTGTGTGTGTGTGTGTGTGTAATGAGTTTGATAATTTCAAGGAGTAACTTTCAGGTATTCTGTAAGGTGCCTTCTCTTGGAACTTGCCTGATATTTTCATTATTATTAGAGTAGGGTTATGGTTTGGGGACATGAAGACAATATAGACAAAACATTATTTTCATCTGGGACTAATCACAGGTTTTATGATGCCTGTGATGCTATTAGTGGGGCTTATCTGTGTTGGTGATAACCTGAGTAAGGGGAAGCTTGAGTTTTTCTGCCACAAGGTTACCTTTTTACATAGAGCCTTTTGAAAGGAAGTCCCATGTACCAAGCACACCCCACACTTAGAAGTGGGCTAGTGAGACTGGAGCATCCCCACTAATTGTTTGCAATTCTTCAGCGTAGGAGCTTTCTTCTACCTCATTTATTTGTTTATCCATTCTAACTGTTTAACCATATATCGTTTTATGCAATGCATGTGTACTAATATTGCAATTATTTTAGTACTTTGAAGCTATCTAGATATTTTTTCTTAGTCCATTCAAGTAGCCATAACAAAATACCATAAACTGAGTGGCTTATAAAAAACAGAAATTGATTTCACATATGCTGGACCCCAGGAAGTCCAAGACCATATCACTGGAAGTTCCATGTCTAGAGAGTACCTTTTATGGTCTTTTTTCTGCTACCATAAAAGAACAGCTGAGGCACAGTCATTTGTGCATGTAAAAACTTTATCTTGGCTCTCAATTCTGGAGGCTAGAAAGTGCAAGAAGAGGTGGTCAGACATGGTACGGACCTCATGTTACTTCAACTAATAGTAAAAAGTAGAAGGGCAAGCGGATATGTTCTAAGGGGGCAAAATCTCAGAGGCCCACCTCATTTTTTAAAACTGTTCACAGAGTAAATAATTCAATCCCCATCGAGAGGAACTCAAGCATTATGGTGGTGGTGTTCAGGAGCACTCTGCCCCATTACCCAAACGTGTATTAATAGGTCTTACCTCCCCAAATCACTGCCCTGAAGCCTTAAGGCTCCAACATGGGAATTTTGGAGGAACACACACGGCAGCCAGAGTAGGACCTCTTCCTGGTTCATAGATGGTGACTTCCTATATTCTCATCGAATAATGGTGAGAGTTGCCTTTGGGCCTATTTTACAAGGGTTGAGCCTCAAGACTCTGGCCCACTAAGGAGAATCACATGGAGAGAAAACATTCTCTTAGGCTTTCACAGAGAGCAAATTGGTCAAGCAGTGACCGTGATTCATCCACATGGCTGACACTGATGGTATAGGTCTTGTTTTATCTTGGTCTTAACCATCCAGCAGAAAAGTATAAAAATGAGGTATAAAAAGTAAAGCCATATTAATACGCTGAGCTGTAAAAAGCTCAAGTCAACAAATTCTGACATTGCCAGTCCTATGATTAACCCACTACTATTATGGGACTACTGGACTATATTGGATTATTTTGCTGAATTCATACACCTACAATATTTAAATGACAATGGAATACCCATGTCTGACAAAACTAAACAAAAAAGGGGATACAAATGAAGGACCATTTTACATCTGTATATTCAAAATAATTAGGATAGATATATAGCTACTTTCTCTTAATTCAATGAATAGAAAGATTTGTTCTAATAGTATTTGTGGACAGGATATCATGTCTGCATCTTGTACTACGAATAACCACTAAGAAGACAACAATATGCAATGTATTAAATATTGAAACTGTCCTACTAACCGGTTTTGAAACTGTCTCATTGCTATTTGTTTCTCAATAAAATTATTTTTTAAAAAAAGACTCTGGCCCAAGGCCTATCACCTCCCCAGAGACTCCTGCTTCTTCATACCATCACCTTGAGCTAGAATTTTAATATGTGAATCGTCTGTTACTCCTCTCTCTCATTGCTGGGACAAATACCTGACTCTCAAAATGAAGGAAGGAAAAGTTTGTTTAGCTCACAGTGACTGGAGTTTTCAGTTCTTACTCACCTGGCTCTAAGGCAGAGCGGCACATGACAGAGGGCAGCAGTTCATCGCAGTAGGAGGCACCAAAACAGCAAGAGAAAATGGGAGGAGTAACAGCAATGGTGGCTACAGAGAGCAAGTCTGACTCCCTTAAGTTGCGTTCAGGCTCTCTGCCCCAGGCTGGGTATAGCACTCACACCCATAATTCTGGCAGCATTTACACCCATAATCCCAGCAGTACTAAGACCCATAATCCCATCCTTGGATCATGAATTAAGCACAAACTGTAGAACTGTGACTGCACGAGGCTTTTGGGGGGACAAATACACACAAACCATAACATTTCGGGGGACACAGTTATTCAGACCACTACACAATTCATTAACTAAGTGAGGAATTATAAATTAGAAGATACAGAGTTAATAGAGAGGACTATAGACTTGGAAGCCATAACTAATAATGTACCCATTAAGGATTCGTCCCGTCATCCTCATTTATACTGCAGAAAGCAGCTTACAGATATATTTAAGATGATTTCTGTTTCTGATGTAGAGAACGAGAGAGCTCATCTTCAGATTAAAGATGAAGCAGACAGGAGCATTTCCTGTTGCGTGTGGATTTGGAGTTTAACTTCACAGTTTCGGTTTCATAGCAGACTCCAGGTTGTCAGCCCTTATGGGCAAAACCTTGACTCCCTTGTTGTATAATGTATAAATGCTGTCATGTGTTCACGATATATAATTAAAAAGTTTTGCTGGGGTGAAGCTTTTCCAAGACATTCTATTATCTCACCGTTTCTGCCCCTTGATGGTCAACACTGACTGATACTTCTCTACATTGTCGTTGCTTTCCAGATATTTCCGTCAGCCTGTTAGCCGTTGTTGTCAGCTTCTGTGGGCTGGCCTTGTTGGTCGTCTCCCTTTTTGTCTTCTGGAAGTTGTGCTGGCCATGCTGGAAAAGCAAACCCGTGACTCCAAACCTCAGCGCCCTCCCGCAGAGTGCTTCGAGCGCTCCCACAGAGGTTTTTGAGCCTGAAGAGAAAAAGGAGGTTAAAGAAAATGGAAAGCCAGCGCTCAAAGCTATTGAGCCTGCAATAAAAATTAGCCACACTTCTCCTGACATCCCAGCAGAAGTCCAGACAGCCTTGAAAGAACATTTAATTAAGCATGCACGTGTGCAGAGACAGACTACCGAGCCTACTTCTTCATCCCGGTAAGGAAGGAGCCAGTCTAGCAAATCATCTGTGTACATGTGTGTATATGTGTGCGCATGTGTGTGCATGTGTGTGCATGCATGTATGGTATGTGATTGGAAGAGAGCAGACAACTGAAGTGAGAAGAATAGAGAAACAAAAGCAATGGGGAAAACATAAAAAGCACGCAGTTTAATGAAGAAAAAGAGGGTAGTGCAGAAGAAGCAGAGCAACAGAGAGCTCCTGCTGACCACAGGGCAGAGCAGGGAGAGTTCCAGCACTCGGTAGAAGTTGAGGGCTTTGCAAAATCATGTCATATAGAATATTTAACTCTTTCCTGGAAATATCATTGCTTGATAACTCTTAATAGTAGTATGTGGATTTAGTTTAATCAACCGATAAGTATTGATTTAAAAAAAAATCCTAATCACTTGAAATGTATGTAATAGAGATACAACAACCAAGGATTACCTCTCATTTAGAATCGCTACAGAGATTCACATTTAGTTTACAAATACTTAGCACCTGTGCTATAAACATGAATCTGCTGGAAAATTTCATTGTTCATTTGTGCTCATGTTAACCAAACTCTTATCCTGGGCAGTTTCACTAGAACCTAAAGATTTTGAGAACATCAAGATGAGTACCCACAAAAGAGGAACCCTTCCTTAAGGAAATTCTTCCTAACCATGCCTGAGAAAAGTGGCAAAAGTCTGTTTGGCTAAAAGTAATTTGCCACAACATATTCAAACTATTGAATTATATTAACTATAAAGAGAAAGGATACTGCCAAAGACGCATTTTTTTCTGCTGCCTGGGGTTATCTGTGGGTGGCCAATACCATTTCCAGCTCATTAAATTACTTCCTAAGTCTCCCTCTACACTGAGGGCGTGTCTGTGCTTTTGACAAGACATACTTTTGTGGGTTTAGAAATCTATATGACTGGAGAACTGGATTATGTTTGCCGCTAGGACTGAAAGACTATTCAATATATCTTTTGTGTAAATAAAATAATGTAGCTGTGTATGATAGTGCTGAGCTACTATCCAAGGGCTACTTAAAGACAGGCACCATGACAGTGGGTCTGAACCCAATGGCTGATAAGTGACAGAGGCAAGGAGCACCTGCAGAGGGACTTGCAGGATGGAGGGATAATTCCCATCTGAGATGGAGGCAAGCAGAGTGGTGTGAAAAACACTATGTCAAATTTATACTTCATTTATACTTATGAAGTGCTTATGTTTGGAAAGTTCCAGACCTCAGTTAGCCACTAACAATTGAGACAGTCATCTAAATCAAAGAAATATAAGACAAAGGATAAGGGAAACTACTGTACTAATCAAAGCTATAAGTGCCTGTCTGCTTCATGCTCACAATTACTCAGTTCTGTTAGTTGAGGAGTACCTGTCACAGAAGGAAGCTCAATTCATGAAAACATATTGAGTTAATCCTTGCTTTTGGACATCTCAGCATTTCCATCTTCAGAATGTTATCTGTTGAACATAGACAGCTTCTGTGATTACCCCTAGCTAGGGCAGAATGGATAAGTGGAAAAAGTTTTGTGAAGACTTGGCTTTGGACACAGACATGGCTTCTGGGTATAATAGACACTAGTAGTACAGACACATCATTTTATCCCTGGCTTTCACAGTAATTATGTAAAATTAAAAACAAAAGAAAAAAATCTTTTTCTCTCAATCTGAAAAAACACA